AGAAGATTCTTTCCCCTCACATCAGGTTCCTTATCGGCATTCCCATCTCTCCGCAACAGTAAATTCTACCTTGATTCCTCTTGCAACGCCGGCGCTTGAAAGTGATCAACGCTTTTCTTTGTTCTTCTCTCATATTCATACTCACTATCACCATCATCATTGCCTTCAACATCCTCTTCTCCATCATCATCATGTTCTCCATCATCATCCTCTTCTTCGTCAACATCTTCTCGTCTGTCATCATCGTCTTCTTCTCCATCATCATCCTCTTCTTCTCTTTCACTTTCACTTAGCACTTCTCCACCCATAGTCTGCGTTGTCTCCTCGACACCTGTCTCTACAAAAGTGTCATTCAATAGCAGATCATGAGCCGTTGGTACATAACGTCTGGATTCCCCAGCTAATACTTCATTATTAAGTGCAGCTTATAGCAACTCTATATAAGTATATCGCAGCAAGTAGAGAATAAAAAAAACAAAATTGACCATTAGATATATTTTTCATAATTTTAAGATATATTAAGACGATAAAATAAGAATAAACATATAATAAATAATATCCCAATCTATTATCCGAGGATTGCCTGCTGAGGGTTGTACTTGTGATTAGCCTGCGGCAGTTTGTACATTAGATTGCGACTGCGACGAGGGGCGAAATGGGGTTTTTCTTCCTTGTAAAAACATGTTGTACCAGGCCATATACTCTGCTGTAGGTACTCCACCAGATTTATCTACGACTACCTTAACAACATTACGCTCACGTGCTTTCCAATCTTTTATCTGCTTACCCGATTCTACAGTCCAATTTGTGGAGTGTAAACCGACCTTCTCTCTCCTATCCAACTTGGATGGCCTAACAGGAATATCTTGCAACTTCCCAAATTGTTGCAACACACGATCTGACATAGAGTACTCTACAATGTTGAAACTGATGAGGCATGATTGACAGATAAAGTACTCTGCAATTTCATATAACTCCTCATATGGTTGCCAAGTCACCTACAAAAATAAGCATGAGACGTTATCAAATAACTAACCACAAATTTATTAGCTAATAGATCATAAGCACATAAGCCAATAACTAACCATATCAAACGAGATGCTATCAAATGAGATGTTTTTGTGGTGCGCTTGTTTCTTCCATATGCAAGCCTTAGGCATTTCTAGGCTTATGACCGATGTGGGCTTGGTGGCTAGAGCTCGAAAATGCTCATAGATCCAACATTGTAGAAGAAGTAAAAAGTAAGAAATCAAAGATAGTGAGAAATTGTAATATTCTGAAATTAAATAATAAAGAGAGAGAAATACCTGTAGTAAGGTCACTAATCCACTAAAATGATTATTTTCCCCACTGATGACTTTAGACAACGAATGATACAAAAAAGCAAGCGCCACATCACCCCATCCATACTTCCTTGCCTCATCAAAATCTCGAAACAATTGCAAGTATATTGAAAGTGTCGATCCTTTAGATGAGTCGACAAATATAGTTGTGCCGACTAAATAAATGAGATATGCTTGTGTGTGTTGCTTGAGTTGTAATTTGGTCAGCTTTTTTGTTAGTTGGGTGAATCGACTCCTCAACCATGTATATTTGAGACGCATCGAGGTGACTTCTTTAAGGCAATCTCCCAGATACTCCTTGACGAACGAAACATAATCTTCAGGTCTGATGCCGGTTACAAGCTCACCTGTCACGGGTATCCTTTATATCTGCCACACATCGTATAGTGTTGGAGTCATTTCACCAATGCTTATAAATGCAATATTCGTGTCCTTGCACCATTTCCCTATAAATGCCCTCACTAGATTGCAATCGATATGCGATACTCTAACATCCATCAATGGGCTCAACCCGGTCTTTTGAATTAGAGGTATCTGTCGTTGATCGATCTTCCATTTTACTAGGGCTTGAGTTGATTCATGAATACGAAGTACATTTCTCTCTTAAATTGAATAATAATAAGAAATTGCAATAGTCAATAACATGAGAAATACGTAATCAATGTAAATCATTAACTAAAACAAATATACCATCGTACCTCTTGCCTTTGACCTGATGAACAAGATGGCTCCCCTGTGCCTCTTAATTGTTCCAGGTCTTGCATTGCTAATTTTATTTTCATAATTGACATAAAAAAATAACCACAGGCATCATATCCAATAAAAAAAGAGATAGAATAGTTGCATATTTAATATATGTGTGCTAATCTCGCGAAAGGAATTAAAGTGGAACAAACACTATAAACAAATCAGTAGCATATACAATAAAAAAGAGAGAGAAAAGTGATATATCCAATATATGTACTGGCAAAAATATATCTACTGACAAAATTTCCCACAAATATGTGCTACAATTTAAAAAGACAGAACAAAGAAGATAACTAAAAAAAATGCCCTCAAGTTGATGCTTTACAAGTTGCCTTGTTGTGACCAGTTCCTTTGCACTTACTATAGTGAATAGGTCGCACTGGTACTTCTTGTGACTCGATGCACTTCTTTTTAGGTCAACCAGGGGGCCGTCTTGAGTGAGGTGGAAGTACCCTTATTCCATATGGAGGAAGTTGTCTATGCATACGCCTAGATAGATCGGTCAAGGTAGCTGATACGATAGGTTCGGAATATGTTTCACGAAACTTTGCAACCATGAAATATCCCTCACAATAGTCAACAGGATCTCTATTCATCCATTGAAGGCTTTTACAAGCATGTTTGCAGGACAAGCCCTTTATTTGCCAACCTCGACATTCACATTCTCGTGCAATTATATCTACCTTATAATTCATGCGATCATCCCTTGCTTCAAACACTGCTCCACTTGATACAGTGACGCTAACATAAAGGGATTGCTTTATGATCAATCTAAGTTCGTTTTGCGTGTGCGGGGTAAGCGTTGTAGTTTATGTTTCAGCTTCCTAGCTGCGGGTGGCCATTAGTTTCATGATTTGTCTTCTAATCAAGTCAACACATTAGAGAATTAATACGTCTCGTGCTTCTAGAATCCAGTTGTTATATGACTCAGCCACATTAGTTGTTACTTCGTTATATCGTTTACCCTTGAAGAGTGATGTCGCTCAATGGTTTGGCGATGCTTCCATGAACCACATGAATGTGTCCTCAGAAATTGACCTAATTTCATTCATCTTCTCAAAATACTCTTGCGGCCTCTATGCTCTACATGCTTCGACAAAATATTTAACAACTGCCTTCTTAATATCATTAGGTATGTCTTTTGCTTCCTTCTTAAAATTCTCCGCTAAATGACGCTCACAGAAGCCATGATGGGTATTCTCAAAAACTTGACAAACAATATCAATTAGGCCAGGGAGTCTATCAGACAAAAAAGTAATTTCACAATCTGTCCCAATAGCAATCTTTAAAGATTCCATAAACCATATACCCAGTTGTCGGTACTTTCGGCATCCACAATAGCAAATGCAACATGAAACATTTGCTCTTCCCCATCGAGTGAGTTGGCAGCAAGTAAAGTTCTAAGGTATCGTGCCTTCAGTGATGTCCCATCGAGAAATATAAGTGGACGACATCTACTTTTGAAGCCATGTATTGAGCCATAAAAGCTTATGAACATTCGACGAAATTTGCCACCTTGTAAGACTTGTCATGTCGCATAACTACCAGGATTCGTCTCCATCACACGGTTTACATATGCGGGTAACTGGTTGTATGCCTCATCTTGCGAACCATGTATGTCTTTGATGACCGTTTCTTTCTCGCCAAGCCTCACAATAGGATATTTATAGCCCATATTCTTGAGACAAATCATTCATGATTTCTTTAGCTTGTAATGCGCAGTGTTACTTAATTTATCATTGATTAATGATGTAATAAATTTTTGTGACGTTTGTCTCTGTACATCATTGCTTATCCCAAAATTACATGAGTGTTCTCTTTTTCATGTTTTGATGCTAAAAACGTTCATCCTGCCTAATTTTGAAGCATATATTTCCTATTTGCATCCATGACCCTTGCATTTTGCCCTTATGCGGTACCCCTCATTTTTAACAAGACAGTATGTGAAATGGTGCGCTATAGCAAACTTGCTAAGGGCTTCTCGGAAGTCATCTAGATACTCAAATTGTTGCCCTATACTGGTAAATGCATCCTCCAATGAACTAAGCAACTTTCGCGCATTGTTTTGTTCGGAACCAGAGAGCAACATATTAGATCTAAGAGGGGGTTTGACTTCTTCGAATGCCTTATTATTACGTGAAGTACTTCCACCCCTTTGTTCACTCCCATCAAATACATAAACAAAGAGATTATTCTCTCTTTCATGTGTATTCAACATCCTCTCAATATCATCGTCAATGAATACATTCACAAAAAATCTTCTATTTCCCAAGACAAAATACCTCAATGATATTGGCTGCATATCCAGCGAGAAACGCTTTATTACCTATTTTCGCAGGTTATCTAACCTAGTTCTACTTTCAATCATAACTATACATGCATCACCACTAATATAATCCAAAGTCCCATCGATATTTGATTGGACTTTTCTACAAAAAATACAATAAATCAATCTGCTATCACTTTTTCTTTTTTTTTTCCTGCACAAGATTTGTAATAATTTACACTCCACAGATAGACAAACCCAATTATTATCTAAATACAAAACTAATGACTTTTTGACAAAACTAGTATATATCATGAAGATAAAGGAAATTGACAAAGGTTACAATTTTATGGATCGCCATCCCCAAATATGTATGGCGATGTAAATTGCTCAGATAAATGATTAACATGATAAGGGACCAATTGTGTAAAATAGAAACCAACAAAGAATAAGTGGGTTATCATTAAATTGGATGGTTTTTACTACCCAATTGTTTCTTTCACCATTTATTGACTGTTACCATCCCAATACAAACACAATGCACATAAAGTATGAACATGATATATCAAACAAAAGAACTTGAATAAAGGATAAATATCCAAAGGTAGCAAGTAACAATAAATCAGAAAATATAGCAGGTTTAAGTATAAGAAACACAACAATAAAATTTACAAATAAATGAACAATGCTACCTTACAATAAATCAATAACATGATGATTTGGATATATCATGTACAATAGAAAGAAATGTTCATTTCCAAATGGATGAATTCCAACATTGACATGCCTTTGCAGAATACAGATTTCAAGTTCTCCATTTAAATAAAATAAAATTTGTAGATATATCAATCTGTAACTATAAAATATCCAAAAAAATGCAAGTAATTTGACCTAAATCATTTTGATGAAGTATGAAATGCTAGAACATATAATAACAAAAACACCAAACCCATTAAAAAATGCTTAGATTGGTGGACATGAAGAAAAGGAGATCAATCAAAATAATACATCAACAAATGAGATAAATAAACAGTGTATCAAGAATTCGAAGCCCAGAACATGCTGCAATTTTAGATTTACAATGCAGCAAAGCATTGAGATAATACTTAATTGTAGTCGACAAATTACAATAAAAAAGGAAAAATTGAACAAAATCATGAAAATATCCACATCGATATGTTAATGTTTAGATAGAATGGCCGAACTGAGCTACATTCATCATACAACAACTCATTCTGATTTTTAATTTCTTTTTAGAAGATGTTGAGCTAATAGTGATATGGGATTGCACAAAATAATAAGATCCATAAAAAAATAAAATAAAGAAAGAGAACGAGGAACAGTCACGTACCTGAAAGAGGCAAAACCCCCATAGATCAGGCCTTTACAGAGAACCCAGAGTTTCGTGGTCTCTTTCGTAGAGAGAGGGGGAGAGCTATGGCCTTCTTTGTGTGGTAGAGATGTTGCCCCAATGTTCCTTCGAAGAGAGAGAAAGATGGAGAGGGAACGTGGGAGGTGGGAGATCGGGTCGGAGAGAGACCGAGAGATCGAGAGGGACCTTGGGCTGGAGAGAGAGCGAGAGATGGGCTGTGTGAGAACGAACCTTGGGTAAAAAACCCTTTTTTCCTACGTGGGTAAAAAGATAAGGAAACATAAGAGAAAGAGAGATAAATGGGGTAAATAGAAATTGGGAATTAGGAGAGAGAACCCGTGTGAGAGGAAAAGAGGGTATTTTAATCATATTTGATGGTATTTTTGGGTTGGGGGTTTTTGAGAGAAAAGATTATTTGGAAGAAAAAGTGTGAGAAAAAATTGGGGTGGGGGTAATTTACATAGATAGTTCATTTGAGAGGGGTATTTAAAATTTTCCTTTTAAAAAGGGCAGTTGTTCTACAATTTGTTTGAGTTGAAAAAATAGGATTAAATTGGGTAAAGTTAGTCTAGCGGTTTAGAAGATATATAAACCTAATATTTCTATGTCTCAATATATGTCTTGAAATCTTTGGTGTATGGAGATATGAAACTTAAAAATAACAAGAGATGGAGATATTTTTCCTATAAAATAATATATAAATAGTTTTTTGGATTCGATCGGCTCTGAATTCAGATTGGGATCGAGATTCGGATCAAATATCTCAATCCTATCGGGTCCAGATCCGAATCTAAATCCCATGTGAACTTTTTGGATCCAAATCCAAACACGGTTAGACCCATTCTCAGCCCTAAAAAACATAGATGAACCTACTGATATTGGCATCGAAAATATGGTATATGATGAATCAATCTTAGAAAAAGATGGATCAATTGAGAGTACAAGTGGAATCATATAATTTTGCATGAATACATTAGGACCATATTTAATAGCCATACAAAAAGGGTTTTATATTATTTTATTTTTTCTCATGTTATTATGATGTAACCTTGATTTGACTATAAGAAAGTTTTCATGAATAAAATTTTTAATCACAAAGTAACATATTTTGTACTATTAATACTATTGTTATGACTATTAATTGTTGTATATGTAAATGAAGATATGAACTACAGATAAGTTTCAATATGTATATTTAGGAAAAAGTTTATATAAGGTGTCAACCTTATACTGTACGAGTAAGGTGCACCCAAAAAAACCCATTTGAGAAGGTTGTTCCTATGCTCCCTCAAATCAACCATTTCGACCTTGAGATTCATAGACATAAAAAAAATCCATTTTTAGTCCTAAAAATAGTTCATCTTCCAACACATTATTTGGACCATCCACTTTCAAGATTTTCAAATTTTTATAGATTTGCTTGATTGTTACCATTTCTAGAACTTTAAATTTTATAATTGAGAGCAACAATAGATTTTCATA